CTCACAGCGTTTATCAACCTTTTTCTTACTCAATATCAAGCCACACTTATTGTTTTTACTTCGGCTGTGAGTTTGTGTGTGCTCAGGATGAGTTTGGCTGTGTTTCGCTATGTTTGCTAAACAAGGAAACAACACCTCCACGGAGCTCAGCGCGATTCACAACATCCCGACCAATCAGAGCACACTGTGCTCACAGGGAGGGTGGGGGCTGGAGCTATTGGAGCTACAACGAGCCGTTAAAGGCAGAGAGTGAAATTCAGTGAATACAAGTAGTTTACAGAGATGCTGTATGAGAAACCAATGTGAGTTCGGAAAAATGCACAGTATAAATCTATTCTAGTAGACCTCAACAATGGAATTATGATCAGTGGAAATGGCCATGACACCTCTCCTTTAAGGAAAGATCATTTTATACACAAATAATAACACTGTATTTATATGCTTGATATATTATCAAATAGGGATGAGACAAATGTCCAAAAAATACACCTTATAACCCAATCAGTTTAGTTTTTAAGGAATAGGAAGGCCTATAAGAGTATCTTCTTCTGTAGGCAGTAGGTGGAGTTACTGCTGGGTTGTGCTCCCACCTGTGTGGCGGGGATGTGAGCAGCAGACGACAGGAGGAGAGTGGCAGGCCAGAGGTGGCAGGTGGCTTTTTGCCACTAGTCTTGGCGTGATGGTTACTGTGATATTTTGGGGCTAAATAATTTAAGGTGCAACAACACGTCTCCCCTCGCCACCACGAAATGTGGCTCCTGGCTGCATGTTTCATTAATGCCGTCGCCTCCAAAGCCCCTCCATAATTCAGCAGGCACTAGAGGAGCTGCGATGTGTCGCCACACAGCTCACTGACACCGGGGACACGGGGAAGGAGAGGCCGGATGCAGAGGAGGTGAAAGATGGGGAGATAGTTACCAGGGATGAGAGGGGACGTGTAAAAGTGCAAGGAAGACTACAGTTCACTGCTTCTCTCTGATTGTTTCGCCACATTGTCTCAATTGGCAGAAAGATCTTCCCCACTTAACCGTGTCATTGGCAAGGGCTGAGCATAGCACCTACCATGCCTGGAAAAGGCGTTGAATTATTCAAACCTTGTTGTGGCTTCTTATGTGCTAAATACTGCTCATTCCCATTTATGTTGCCTAGCTGTGCTTCTTTTTAAGAACTGGAGAGTATAGAATACATTCCCTTTTTAAATGACCACTTCAATATCTTTTGAGACAATCAGAACAATAGATTATGTTTTCTGAAAAAGGCAATGTCTATTAATCTTGGTAAGTAAAGGTTGTTCTAAGTTGTTAAAACCTTCCGATGCACTAAAATGATCTCAAACCCTGTATCTACATAACCAAAGTCAGTATACTTTATTTATCTTGGGGCAAATTGGGTTTTAATGACCGCTTTTTTTTATTCAATAAAAGAAATAGAATAAATAAATGTATAGTTATAAAACTGTTATTTCTCGCTTAAACAAACTTATATTGTGTGACTTTGTTGTTTTAGAGCGAGTTTGTATTCATCAAAGCTGCACAATAACACAAACCAGCGAACGTTGAACTTGCACCTGAGTGTAGATTGAGATTCTTTTTGTGCTTTCCGACGACAAGGTAAGGTGGTGAAACATTTTTTTTTATAATAATAGTTATTTTTTTCGGTGGCTAAAAAACGTTTTTACTTGCTCTTCCAACCAAACCAGTAAATTGGCTTGCTCCCATGCTGCCCCGTAATACACCGACTAAGGATACGAACCTCATACAACCCCACTTCAAAAAAGCCCTTCCGTTTGAATACCAGCTTCCTTTGTTTTTTTTGTCTTGAAGTTATACAAAGAGGTGTGTAGTTGAGCCTGCAGAGTGACATTTTATAGCCCAGCCTGTCAGCTAAACACCCGGTCTGTGTCAGATGTTGTCCCTAAAATATTGATGAAGGTGCTCATGTCTATAATTTTGGTGTCTGTAATTTCAGTGTTGAGTGTCTAACACTTGCATGGCTGAAAGCCTTTGCTGAAGGTGCTGAAAATGCGTATGACTGCACAGTAAAACGCTCTAGTTCACACCCATGCAGTTCGAGTTATCAGACCAGTCTCGTGATGTACATGGCCTATATTAATGCTGACTGGGGCGGTAAAGTAACACCTTGGTTGAACATAGTCTAATATGAATGGGTGAATGGTTTAAACCCACTTGGAACCAGCTTTTGTACATATATTTCCTTTATGAATTTAATATGAGAATTAGATTTGGAACATTCCCTGTTCCAAGGACTTGACTCCAGGGTGTAAATTACTATTACGTGTGATTTTGTTTTAATTCGTTTTTATCTGTATATGTATAGTGTTTTTGTTTTCCTTTTAAAAGCATTCTCTGAATAAATGATACCATTATTTTATTTATTTGTATTATTATTTGGATATTTCCATGTTCTTTAGATATTCAATTTAATTTTGGACCAAGTTTTGTGGCTTCATAAATTGGTAGAATACTGTGAGGTTGAAATACGATCTTATTTAAAGTCACTCAAAGGGCTCCTCCATGATGGCATTTACTCATCCGCAATGACCTTAGAATGTCTATTTTCATTATTTAGAGGTTCACTGTTTATCCTTTGGGGGTTTTCCCTTTCCTGTAGTGGGTTCTATAGGTTTTTGTGAATGTAAATAGTCAAAGGCTAAACTCCCAAGGATCTCTTCAGAGGGAGTTTCTCTCTCCTTTTTGGACTCCTTTTTACTTCTGTAATATAATGACATCACTATGTTACATGTGCGCTTCTATTGGCTAGCTCTCCAAGACATTGCACGTGATAGGCTAAAGGGGGGGGCATCTCTAAGCGGTTGACCAATCACAACCGAGCTGGCCAGCTAACCAATCAGAGCAGACTGGGCTCTGGTTTCAGACAGAGGGTGAAAAAAGGTGCTGCAGCACAGACAGTATGAGAAAAATAAAGAGCTTTTTGAACATTAAAGCATGGAGACATGTCACAGGAGTAGAGGCACACAATAGAAATATGAACCTGAACATGAGCTTAATAGTGCCCCTTTAATGTTAAAAATCCAAGAAGTAACCTTTAGCTTCACTTTTAAAAAGAATAAACGAGTGAAAACACGATATGGGTAGTACAGTCAAATAAAGTAGAGATATGATAATCTTGGCTGCAGGACACTTCCCTTTGTTCTGTCTTTACCAACCCTGTTGCATTTTATCAGCAAGAGCATTTTTCCTTTATACTCTTCGCCTCCTGGAATCGGCTCCTTTCCAAGTGCAGCCTGGCAGATAATGGCTGTTTTGTTTAGTAGTAGATCTGCCTAAAGTACATAAGATGAATTATTCATCTGCTGCTCAAGATTGCACTGGAAAGCTATTCGAGTACAAACAGTTTACTGAGTTGAAGACGCACGTAAGGGGGGTCCTTGTCGATGTAACACTGCATATTTAGTGAATGTGCCATGTTTTATTGATGGAAACGTCCCGGGCTCACTTGCTTTAGGAGGCACCAACCTGACGAAATCTTCCCCATGCTTCATTTCACCACTATGTGGCAATCACACTGGCATGCAAGAAATGATCAACGCTCTCATACGGTCTCATTTCCCTGGCCGCCATTCTTGTTGTCCTCTGTACCGCACACAAGCAGCAGAGTAAATGCCGGTTCTGCTTTGTGCGGTGTTTTTAAGGAACACTGGAGTTGGCTGATGCAGGTAAACAGAATCAGTGTTCTGTTGGGGACAAGACCTCAGTGAATACTCTCCACCTTCCTCCCATCTGTTGACTGCATTAGGCTCAGGCTTTACAGCTTGACACTATTTGCCTGTTGAGAAGTTTTCTGCTGACTACAAGAAGAACTTCTCCTTGACCCTTCCAACACATTTCCGAGCCAGTGAAGCTGCTCTTTGATTATGAAGCCATGCTTATTCAAGGATATGATCTGCGCAGCACAGACATGAGTGGGGCCAGGCTAGGATGAGGGCTTTTAGATCAATGTGCCTCCCTCGAGAGCGGCTGACTTTTTGCACTAACAATAGTACGGGAACAGTGATTTTATTACTAAGGGGGTCTAAAAGCTGTGTGGGGACATGGGAGCAAACATGGGTAGCTAAATGCTTCCTGTTATTTGCTACAAGTTTTCAGACTTAGTGTCATGATGTATATGATGGAACAGAAATGCTCTTATTCGAACAACCTGGTATCTACTTAGGGTATGTTACAGCATTATGTTATGCTGCAATGTCTTTTCATGGGGGGAACAATAGCGATTGTTTGTTGGGCTGTTTTAAGTGCTGATAAAATACGGGTGACTTACACTTATACACTTGATACGGTGCCTTAGTGCATCCTGTGTAGTAGAAGACATAGTTTATTAATCACTCAAGGGAAGTTTTCACTTTAACTATACACATAAGGCTCCAAATACACATACTCAAATGCATGCTATTTATGGAGGGCTGTCAGTTGGTTTGTTAGTGCCTTGCTCAGGGACACATTGGTAGGACCCAGGAGAACCAAAAAAAGTATATACAGTATGTATGTGTATATATGTATAATATACTTTGGTATTTTTGTATACTGTACAAACTGAGCTAATGCTGCCCCAGACACAGATGGAGGTCTCATACTGCTGCTGCTCTGCTAACTTGATGTTCGCATTACAGCTTCAGTTTAGCGGCACAAAGCTGCTAGCCAGGCTAGGTCCCTTGAATATGTGTTCACTATTTCAAGGCAATCCATCCAGTAGGATATATTACAGGAGGACCAAAGTGATGGACCAACTGACATTACCTAACACGTTTACTCTGATTATTGAAGATATGCACTATAATACATAGGCAACTGCTTCACTATATTATCATTGATTACCCCTTTTCACTAATTAGAGTTCTGTTCTAGTTTAGTGCTGGTTCTAGTCTGGTTTGCAGTTGGTTCAACTTGAAAATCAAAAAATGTTTGGGGCTGAAGCCTATTCCAGCATCTATATTTACACGATACCTCCTGTGATTTGTTCAGATGCTCGACAAGCTGCGAGACCGATGGATCAACACAGGTATCTGGGAGAAGCTCGAACAATGTAAAGCTGTGATCACAGAGCCCCGCGGAGGTGGCAAGGGGGATTTTGATGAACTGCTGCAGACGTACTACGATGCCATCAAGTACTGCGTGGAAAGAAGTGAGACCATTAAACATCATACTGACTTTTAGACCAGCTCATGGTGATGATCTATTTTAGTGCATACATAGTAAATCTGATCATAATTTAAAATAGAATAGTAATTTCACAGTTCAACTCTATATAACTTGTAATTTATAGTGTTTTATATACTGTGGTTTCTTTGTAATAGATGGTGCACTGCTAATCGCGGTCTGTAGAGGTAAAGTGAGTGAAGGACTAGACTTCACTGATGACAATGCCAGGGCTGTGGTCACCATTGGAATTCCCTTCCCAAACATCAAAGATCTCCAAGTAAGTAAAATCACAGCAGGATGCAGATATTCTGCACAGGGGGGAAACAGGTGAAACAGTGGTCTTTGGTCCAAGCAAAGATAAAACAGCATTCCTGCAGTTCCTTTTAAAAAGTATTGAATTAAGAAATCTAAAAATAAGGCCTTAATTGGTTCTAAAAGACTTAAACCAATGATGCAAAAGTCAGAAATTTGCAAAGATGCGAGTAGCAAGATCTTATGAATGCATTTGTTAATGATGCATTGTAAAATCTAATTAAAAAAAGGTTGGGGAGAATTTTTTTTACATGGGTGGAAAAAAAGATAAATAATATTGAAACTAATTCTGTAGACGATGACCTTTGCAAACCTAGTTGAATTATTTTACCCTTCATAAGATGCTTTCTTGCTAGCGTATTATGTATGCAAGGGAAATTAAATTTGAAAAAGCACACATTTACAACATTGAATATTATACAGACGTGGCGTGAATATTACATTCAGTACGTTTTGGCCTAGACCATGACATGGTAAGTACGATTTTTACTCTGTATCCAATAGTTTTATAAGTAAATTGTAAAAAAAGAATTGCTCCATATGACATAAAGGTCATTTTACGAGGTCATTCTACACTTAAATACTTGTGTAAGAGTGCTTTAATCAGGACAAAGCCTCAGCTCAACAATGTCTGCATCAATTTATATATATGATTCACACTTGATCAACTACTCTCGACCAATGTGGTGAAGACCACTCATGTTTGCAAAGAGTACTGAGTTTGGAAAAGAAATTGCAGTATATGTCCGCTACTTCACTTTTTTGGTCAACATCAAACATTTTGAATACCATGAACACAAAAATATATCTCACAGACATCGATGCACACGCACAAAACCACACCAAATAAGAGCATCGCCTTTTGGTGATCCGTAAAATAAAATCCCAAAGCGATGTTGCTGTGTGTGCCCTGTCCTTAGCAGATAAAGTTGACCTTTAAGTTTCCCCGTCTCCCCGCCTCCCACCTCTCCTCCCCTTTACTCCTCCACATCCTGCTGTCAGGACACGACGAAGCTTTCACTAACCTGTTCTGTCAGTGTGGCCAGACGTGGGGGTGATTGAAGCTTCCCAGACCCTTTCACCTTAGCCAAAGCTGTCAGTCTCACCACTGTCAGTTCTCGGGGCATTTCTTCTTCCTTTTATGAGATTTTTTTTTAAACGTTGTATTTTGTCATAGTACTGGTGTTTAGGTACATAGATGTCATATAAGAGTTATTACCCCGTATAGTTTGACCATAAGAAATGTCTTTATTAGGATCCCAATTAGCACTAGCATGAGCATTGGCTACTCTTCCTAGGGTTAGGGTCAAACATAAGCACTCACACACACATTTACACACTTCATCCACGTAAAAACTAAAATATAAAAGACAAAACAACTCATCTCATGTAGTTAACAATAGAGGAGAGAAGTGAAAGAAAAATGATCAACCAACCTTGTCTGAAATGTATCTATTTTGCGCATTCAGACAGAGCTAGGTGCTATTTTGCGCTTGATGGTGGCACTAAATGAGAATTGTATAATTAAACCATTTATATATGTTTGTTTTATTGCTTCACCGTGCAAAGTCCTTATAAAAATTGTTACCCAATCAATATCCACTTGGGGGACAATTGAAGGCAAAGCAACATCCTATCTCATATTCACCCAAGTGTGTCATTGTCAGATATCAACGTAATTTGGGGATTTTTGTGTGCCATATATATTTGTTTTCTTTTTGCCATAGAGCTCCATTGTTTGAGGAAAGTTTCTTAGAACAGGGTGTCCGCGGGGTCTTAAAAAGTATTAAAAGTTGATAAATCAATTTAGCGAAAATTAAGGCTATTAAAAGTATTAAAAAGTATTAAACGGCATTTCCCAAGGTATTACATGTTGTAGCTTGTTTTCAATAAGTATATGAATTGTCCAAAGAGGTTGTATTCTACAGTCTGCCTGAATGTAATCATTGCGTAGGTGTGTAGTGTGATTCTGTGTAGTTTATTTATGGCATCCTGTTGGATTTGACGTCATCTGAACAGGACATCGCGCGCTCACTGCTTGATAGCGCGCGAAGGTCCGTTTACGCCGGTTGTTTAACAACATCGTTATGGGGAAATGCAAGTTTGCGTCCAAATGGTTGGAAGATAAGGAGGAAGGACAATCAATACTGTATACAGTAAATGTTGCGCCAATGTAACCGGTTAAAACTCAAAGTGGCGATGAGGTCTTAAAATGTATGGAAAGGGTCTTAAAAAAGGTCTTAGAAGGTATTACATTTGACTTCAGGATTCCTGCATATACCCTGTAGAACTACGTTGTCCTGTTTAGTTTAGTTTAAGTAAACCATGAGCATTAAAAAAAAGGAAAAAAAAGAAGCTATATTTGTTACCCTGTTTGAATATTTAAATGTTTAATAGGAACCAACGGTAATGTTCCTAAACGAGTTAAAAACTGGATATACATGGGTGGAGCAGATGACCAGGATTGACAAAACATTGCTTCATAGGTGGAACTGACCAAGCGTGAGGAGACTTGCTTTTCTAATGACGTAATCTGTGCTCCACATCAACAACCTTTGTGTATGTGCTCAGCTCCTTGGAGAGTTTGATAACTCCTGCCACATCTTGTCATAATGTTGGCGGCTGTAAGATCGGGTAGGCAAGGCTGATTATGGTTACTGCTGACACTTTGACTTCTTATTGCATTTTTTAGTCACAACAAAATCTGACATTTCATTTTTGTCATGCTCAATCCTTGATCACCCTTAACGTACTGCGTTGTTTATAGATTGTAAACAATAATAACCACAACGAGCCCAACCTAACCAGGGCAATGTATAAAATGTCATGATGTTTAAAAAAGTGACAGGCAGTGGGCAACAGTGGGCAACATAAAGAGTGCAGGCATGAGAGAGAGATCTTCAGTGCTTTCATTTCATTTGTACTCAAGGAAATCATTATAGTCCTCTAATGCTTTTTAATTATTTTGACTTGTGGTGATGTGTGTTGAGCTACTGCTTGAGATTGCACTTTTAAGTATAGGGAGGACACTTTATATACGTTTAACCACAGATTGACAATGTGTCATCTCTACGACGTAGAATCAGTAACCCAGAGCAAGGCACACATTTTACATCTGCAGTATTACTCTGTGTTTTTATATTTGTCTTTACATATAAGAAGCAGTTATTGACGACAACTGTTGTCTATACTGTATCTTATGATGTTGGCTCCTGTCAAGCTCCAGCTAGTCAAAATATCAGCCCTCGAGTCTTTAAAACTTCTAAAAGAGTTGATTGATTTGTCTTGAATTTTGATGTTGTTTTTTCAGTTAAAATCAATGAAGCCGGACGCATATAGCTTATTTGGCAGCGCTGGCAGAGGTCCTGGCTTCCAATCCGACCCAAGGAAGACTTACGATGTCATCTGGTCTGTCTGCCCCTTTAAACTGTGTCTTTCCAATACAGGCACTGGTCCAAAAAAAAAAAAAAAAAAAAGAGAGCAATCAAATTGAGTGTTGGAGGGGAGCCAATAATAAGCCAATTGGAGGAATGGGCAGGACTAACACCTTTGTCAAGCTGTGAGCCATAGCCACCTGTATCGCTCAACATTTTCTGTATTCAGCTCTTCCCCCGAAGATGGAAATGGAGAGACAAGTTGACAGTTGTGCGTAAAATCAGGCAAGGTTTGCCTGGCTTTCAGTGGAGATTCAGTCATTATGCCTTTTTTAAGGCACGGTGTTGAATTGTATTATTTAAGAGGTATACTATATATGTTATTGTGTCATCTCTGATGAGAACCAAGAGACCATGCTTGTAACATTCTAGATCGTAGAGTCTATCTTTGCATCTTTAGCCTCAGCTTTGCTCAGTTCTCCTTTGTCTTCTCTCTAGATGTCTTTTCCTCCTCCTGTTATCTCCTCTTCCAGGGGCAGAGGCATTGTGGCCCCTAGAGAAGCCCTGAAGGGGCTGTAAAGGTCTTTGAGCTAACCCCATTACACCGCTGAGAGGATGGGGACACTGACACTAATGACTTTCAAAGCCATGCAGCTAGCCCTCGTAGCCCTCATGTTAAAGGAGGAGTCTATTATCTCTCTTGAGTCTGAGAGATAATAGGCCCTATAAGGACACACATACAGACAAACATACACACACAGACATAGTGTCTAGTATGGATAGTCGATATTACATGTTATGTTCAATTCCACTGGAGGAGAGATTCAGTGTACTCTGAGCAATGATGCTTGGTTGTATATAGAAACGTGGTGATCGATACTCATGTTGTTCCAAGCAAGTGTTGCCAAATAGCTGAAGTTCAACCTTTTTTTACCACAATGCAGCTCTGTTCATTTTGCTTTCTGAAATACACTGTTATATTGTTGCTTAAACAGCTTATAAGTTATAGCCAGTATGTTGAAGCACCTCTGCTATTTTGCAGGACTACTAAGTGTATGTATTTTAATTTGGCTTTAACAGCGGCAGTCTTAATCCGGATAAGGCGGTGGGCCTCTGCTTCATGATGCATCCCAAGTTTTCTTTTTCAAAATACAAGTAGCTTAGCTTATTATTAGCTTATTATTCAAACCGAGTTATTGGGTTGTCTTTAAACAAATGTTCACCTTCATGAATGCGTTGTATTAACACACTATTATATTTACACCTTATGTTTCGCACTAGAAGTTCCCTTAGTACACACAAACACATGCGTGACATGTTCTTACATTGTCACTTCATGCACTAGTGGTAACATGTGCACATTCTCGTAAGAGCACACGTGGACCCAGACATATTAATTCAGTCATTCACTGCCACACTCACACGGCAGCACCCCATTGCTAGGATAAGAGGTGTAAGCCCAGCTTCTCTTCATTTAAACTACTCCAGCACTTTAGATGCCTGCATGGCCTGCATTCCCAGACAGGCATAACTCTTAGAAGCTTCAGCCTAAGCACATAGCATGGCCTTTTACTGGCCTGTTGTGTTATTGTGACAAAGATCAAAGGTTGAACTTGAAAAGTCCTCTGCAGAGAAAGCCCTGCCAAAGGTGGTATTACATTTATGTTGAGTTTTTCCAATGGCATGTTTTACAGTGAACAGTCACGTCGTGCGTGAGTGAGTCAAACAATAAGTGGCTTTAACAAGCAATAAAAAGACACTTACAACTGATAAGGCATCTCTTTTATTTTAATGAAGGGCTCAGTCAACCTTTTGCCATTGCCCTTTATTAAAGACAGACACAGGAGCGTTTTAATTTTAAAGCCTGCAAGCATGTAAAACGGATGGATAAAGGAGATTTTGGAGGAATGTTGAAGAGTTCATGGAAATCATCCAGCGGACGGAATGATAGATGCTCCAGGCACACTCAAGACTCTACATGTGGCTTTATTATCAGCAACGGAAGAAAAGCTATATAATACACAATCAGCCCTTGTGCTGTCCTTGTCAGCACCAAAGGCCGATTCTTTTTAAAGACAGTCTTTTTTGTTAAAGTTCGTTGAACCCATTTTTTTTACCATTAACAAAATGCAGACCTATTCCTACACAATGATTTTTGTTAAAGATCATTTCAATTCCAATTCCAATACAATAAAAGTTGAAATACTAATACCAAAACTTACCTTAGTTTAACAAATATAAACAATGTTAAACACTGCTCAAGCACAAGAAACCTTACATGAAAATAAATCAAACCTATTTTACCATATATTTTTATTTTCTTAGTTTTCAGTACTTGTTGCTCTGTATATAAGTTGGTTGGTGCAAAAAAAAGTTAAGATTCCCAGTCTGTACACCACTTAAGGTGAATCCAAGCAAAAGGGGGGGTTGGATAAGAACAAAGACAGTCAAAACCATTCCATTCAATGTGGATAAAAATGTATTTTCCATGTGAGATTATTTTAGTTTATTTTGTTCAAATCAAGTACTATGTATGCTTATTGCTTAGTAAACTGGACTTGGTGGAGGAAGACAATATGAGAGACCGCTGGGTGAGGCCTAGACAGGTTTGAATAAAAAGAATACAGATTAGACACCAGTCTGAGTCAGAGCAGCCATAAGATTGACACTTTGCTTTAATAGACTGTTTGTTTGACTAAAGCTAAAGTGGCAGAAACGATAATACAACCTCAACAAAAAACCAAGCCCCATCAGCGTCCAAGTATAAACCCTGTTGCCAATAATTGGGCTGAAGGAGCATTGTATTTAACCTGTTTAACGGCAGAAACGGAAAGTTTGCAGTCGGGTCATATTCTTGGTGCTTGTGTTTTTCAGGATGAAGTTAAGCTAACTACTAACTCGGTATCGTTTCCCAGAGCCCCTCACACTCTACTCAAGGCAAAGTTGCTCCCTCGGACAAGATGGATGAGGCCTGGATGGGGTCGTTTCCTTGGTTCTGCCACTTTCTCTAATAAACAAACAATCATATCGGTATATCATTCACGTTGCTCTAAAAGTCAACTTTTTAGTGGAACAAGAATAAAACAATCAAATAATAAGTAGGATTTTGTGTATAGCCTTACTGTGAGCGGATCCATGAGCTTGTTGGAAAAGAGTGTGATAGTTTGTTGCTCTTGTGAGCGTGTGCGCACACACACATGGACACTGTCTTCAAGATGAGCCACTCAGCTGTCAGTTCAGCCTTATGTGGCAGATCAGGCGCTCAGCAATCTCAGTGACAAGCACAAGATGTCCTGGACTGCCAGAGGCATGCACACTAATGCGCACATACACACACCCCGCGTAAAATATAGCTCAAACAGATGCGCTCAGGTGCGAATCATGCCTAGTGGTCAAATATATGTTTTTAGGGATGAACAGGTTGCTGTAGAGGACAAGGCCAAAGCAAGCGAGTGATCCCTTGACATTTTAACTAATCCCTTCCAGCTTGTGGTTTCTTGCACATTTGCGAGACTTGCTAGCAGCCAGAATTGGCTTTTTCACATATGCAACCTGTCATGTTAGATTGGACGGTGACATGGTAGAGACCAGGGATGTGATGGCTCGAACGCTGAAGTGGACTGTGATTGGATTTAGATGACACTTCCGGCTTGAGGCTAATGGCCTTTCTGTTCCAGCTGTGGGTTTAGAAGTGGATTCTTTAACTGCTCCGGTGTCTCATACATTCATGAACATCTCACCATGAAGCCAGCAGCATTAACTCCTTCGACATGCCTATATGAGTTGTTGAGTCTCCTCTTGCTGACACTACTGTTTTCATGCAAATACATATACATATATGATTTTTAATCTCTTAAAGACTATACAAGTTTTCCAATTCAGGTTTTCCATGGTGGCAGGTGTTGCTCAGTTGTGACAATGCTTCTGAGGTGAGGTGTTATTAGTCATAGTCCAACTTTAGGGGCGACATTTAGGAAATCCTGTGACTCTTCTTGTTTGTTTACCTACCGAAGCCCTGACAGGCCACAGTGGCATTGCGTGATGTGCGCCAGGGAACAGGCTGTACCTGGCATGGCCCCGTGTTTGGGGGCTCAGGGCGAACACACGGTACCTGTCAAAAGCAGTTAAAGCCCTGTTCAGCAGCCTGCCCCGCATGGCATACCGTCAGACGCCAACTGAACTTTTCACTTGTCAATTCTGAAAGGTTAGCGCTAAAATCAGCAGCGACAGATGCAAATGGATGGATGCTTTCCTGGCATTTTTGTGCAGGGATGCTTCATGTCACCTAGGCCACCTTGTCTGCTCCCCTCATACCTTCACTCCACTCTGTCATGGCCTCTCTTTAGCCCCTTTGTCCCCCTTTCAGAACAAATCTGTAGTAGGTGAGACACAATCCCTTCAGGTTCTTAGTATGGTGTTTAGCTTGCCCTGGATCAAATGCCAACTTGGTTTCCCATTAATTAATTAATCTGATTATTTCTCATTTGACATAAATGGAACTCGCAATTGTTTTTGAGAGCATATTTGTTGTTATACATGTCAGCATTCGTTAGGTAGCCAGCAACTTTTCTTCAAAATATTTTTGGGCATTTCACCTTCATATAGCAAGCAATAGAAACAGACTGAATAGAAGGAGAGTAATGACAACTGCATTTCTCAACTGAAATTGCACCAAGATGCTCTGTGATGAATTTTGATACCTCAAACCCCTTCTTTATGGTACCTGAAAGTTTTAAATTACTTTAGATCTGATAATGTTTTCTGCAGATCAGCCACTAAACCTCACAATATAGTAAGTTGCTGAAACAGATTTCTAACTGCTGCTCTCATCCTTTGTGTGCCACACCTTCTGTACACAAAAACACCTTCCATCACCACAAACGACACAATCGCTCTGAGAAAAAATTAAAATGCTGATGATGTAGGCCTATAATTGGTAATGTTGGATTACTATTTCTAATTGCATGGAACATTTGGGATCTATACATTATTATTACATAGTGTTTCCCCTCAAAGGAAGAAACAAAATGTTGTAATAGCTTAATTTCACAAGCACATTTTCGTTGTTGTCTTTTACTGTCGTGCCAGTGTTTCTCACACACACACACACACACACACACACACACACACACACACACACACACACACACACACACACACACACACACACACACACACACACACACACACACACACACTCTGTTGGGTGCGCCCAGCAAAGCATGCAACATTGATTTGCATTTCCATTACTAGTTCAGGGCGCTGTGGCAACGGTAGAAGCACTTCAGTCTTCCCTATTTATTTGAATCTGCTTTGAATATCCTGGCCTGTGGTTTCAGGTGGAATTGAAGATGAAGTACAATGACCAACACTGCAAATCCAGAGGTCTTCTCCCAGGCTCTCGCTGGTACGAGATTCAGGCCTACAGAGCTTTGAACCAGGCCCTGGGAAGGTAAATCCACCCTCTACAGCTAGAGTGGTATTAAAGATTTTCTTTTGTACTGTTAATCTTTTACACTCTAACCCTCAAACTTCTTTTAACAGGTGTATCCGCCACAAGAATGACTGGGGTGCCTTAATTCTAGTGGATGACCGTTTCCGGAATAATCCCAATAAGTACATCACAGGTACTCGATACAGTGTGTGAACAATGGCTGAATGTAATAACTGCACAGCCTCTCAACTTGAACACTAGATGGCAATAGTTATCCACTGTAAGGTTTGTGGTAGTGTTTGTCTTTGATGTGTGTGTTTGTTTAATCTCAGGTCTGTCTAAATGGGTTCGCCAGCTTGTCCAGCATCACGACAACTTCGGCAATGCCATGCAGTCTCTGGTAGCGTTCTCTGAGGTTCAACAGAAAGCGTCGGTGGCTCTGGCAGCCAGTCAGAGTCTCAGCTCTACTGCCTCATCTCCAAAAAGTCTCTTGTCAGTAACTCTTGAGGACGAGAGTCCACCAAAAGCCACAGAACATCAGACACCAAGCTCATGTGTCAAACCACCTGTACCCAAGCTTGACACAAGCCCAACAAGCGTCCATTTCTTTTCTCGTACACAGTTAAAAGCTGAACAACAAGAAAAAGCAGGTGAGCAAAATTGAAAGACAGGTTTCGGTACTGCAAGGTTAATATCTGTCTCAAGTCTTATTCAAAGCCCTTCCCAATATCACAATTCATGATTTGTTTCTGTGAGACTGGTCTCAGTTCTTTTAAGGCCTATCTAATAACTTCACTGTTTAATTAATGATGAGTGGATGGTGCAGTGTCAGAAAGGTAGAAGGAAAAATTGGGACAGTCTCAGGCTAATTGGAACCTGGATACTTAAACAAGAGATTAAATAAAATACACAAAACAAATCCCACAAAAACAATTACAATGTGTTGTAAAATGTGTACAATTTCACAAGTGCTGCCTTAGCAAGGACAGAAATATGTTACTCTTCACTGCTACTTCTCTACCCCCGTTGGCTCTTAGCTGTAACCCTAGTTGCCTAAAGCCCCTGTATTTGACTGAAGATGTAAATCTAGTCTCAGTTGTATATAGTCATTTTTACCAATTTTCTAAACTGGCTGGTCACTGTAGTATATTTGTTGGGGACTATTTTCTGCAGCAGATTGACACACAATTGGTTCAAGTCCTACCCCCTTTGAAAAAAAAAGTAATGTTTCGTCATGGAACCCAAAGTGATACCAAAACGGGCAACAAATCCCCCTCAACTAAAAAGCTTGCGTAGAAACAATGTTTCACTCTGGATTGAAACCAAATACATTACCAAGTAATTCAAAAGTTCTGCCTTATTTGTATAATGCCTTATAATGTAAATATATGGATCTGCTTTCAATCTAATCTAGTCATGATAGGAATGCACATAAGAAATAATTGTCCTCTTATGTGTTAAAACATTTTAAATAAAAAACAATCACATAATGTAGCTAGTAGAATCTCCGATCTAGTTTATCTCGTTCCCCCCCCATAAATTATGACATTTTAAAGTGTGCAGCTTTCGGAAGGCAGCTCTCAAAAGGTGCATGTCATTTTTTGTGCTAAAGGATGTATGACATCACCACAGAAAATATTCTTAGGTGACGTGTTTGCACATCGCCTCGGCTAGCATCCATTGTCTTTGGGGTCATGACAAGGTTGAGCTGTTAGCCCCGTTGAATCCCGTGCAGAGCTGTAGCAGACCCCCACCCCGCCCCTCCCTTTATAATTTGGGGTGGATGTTGGGGGTGGGGGCCATGCTATCAGTTGAGTGGCTCGCCTCATTACTGTAAGGTCTTTTGCGTGCCTGAGTGGCGCTGGAGCGAGCTGATGAGCAGATGTTGGACTGTTGCTTTTAATTAAATCCCCTTGACCTTTGTTTGGGTTATATTGAGCGTAAGCCCGTATTTATATCTTTCTTTATAAGATAGCCTCGGCAGCCGCGGTGCTCTGCATACCAGTCACACTTTATGGTGAGCCTCAAAAAAGGTCTTACATTTTTTTGTACATACAAGTGCTCTCTTCTTTTGTTATTTGGCTGCACAATATATTCAAATGTTATCCAGATCGCAAGCAAAATATGTGAAAATACCATTCTCAATTAGGTATTCTAGAGGAAACCTACATATATATTGAATCACTGTAAATTCCCATCATAATGATCATTACCTCCAATATTATTTATCAAATCGCAATTGCAATATAAATTAATATAAAATATGATCAGATATATTTTCCAAGATGTGCAGGTTTAATATGCTGGCATAAGGTCAATAAATATCCACTGTAAATGTTTTGTTTTGTTTCCTTGATGCAGAACGGTTGAATACGATGCACAGTACCCCAGCGGAGCCCTTACATCAAAAAAGAAACACAGGTCTGCCTCTGTACAACATTTTCAGCCCGGCCAGCACCTGCTTCAGGAAGCCAATCTTCAAAGAAAAAGCTGTATGTAATTCCAGCCAGCTCTTTGAAACATCTACGGATTCAGAGCACAAGGAGAAGCAGCCGATCTCGTCTCCACAAAAGCCGACTTGTCTTAAGCAAGAGAGTGGAGATGGTTCCGGTGGAATCAAATTGGAAGCACACAATCAGCCTTTGGAGCCTTCCACCTGTAAAAGTGAAGTGCCCTCAGTAGACGGTACAGATGAAAAGGAAGAGGACCAAACTGTGTTCTTCACTCCAGAACTTTTCGAGGGTGAAGGCAGCCCACAGGAAGAGGCGAACGGCAAGTCACCTCCCAGGATGGCTGGAGTGGCGGAGAGTCCTGCCCCCCTGTCAGAAGAAGTTTTTGGCTCTGAGCAAGCCCGAGGGCAAGGTCGACCCTCTGCTTTTGATAGACAGAGTTCTATTTCAGTCAGTATGGACAGCACAGAGCTGTCACAGGGACAGGAAGGAGAAATTATAGGACAGAACCAAGGTGAAGAAGCAGAGCAGGTGGACACCCAGAGCAGGCAGACAGGAAGTAAGCTTCGCAGGTTGTCCAGGTCCAAGCAGAAAGCTCCCCCCACTACAACAGGTAACTAGCTAGCTGGAACCAAGAGATATTGTGAACGAAGCAGAAAGTCTTATATGAAAATACATCGCAAAAACAATACACACAGTAGATTTTGATTTAAAACACATATTGAAACATTCATGCTATTATATTTCTGCATAGGTTTTACATTCAATCTTACACCATTTTCTAAACGCTATGCTGGAAAGTATCTGCTCATGTTAGAGCGGCCTCGGGCAACTCGCCCACACACTCTGCCTGCAGTATGATGAGGCTTCAGCTTTCTCATATCAGCTTGTAATGCGGTGTGACAGCACATCTTATTAAGGCCAAAAAGCCCGGTTCTCACTTAAAAAATCACATAACTAACCAACAGCAGTGAAAATTGCAGCGCTGATTGAATGTGCCTTTTAACAAATCATTAAAATACAAAAAGCCTAAACTAATTTGTTTTCCTACAAAGTAGGTAATCATGTCGTTGTGTTTTAATGATGTGTTTCGTAGATTATGGCCGACATGCGTGGAGGCTTTAGACATGCCTGATTTAACCTACAGACCTTTATTTCATCGATTTAAATTCCATGTGTTATGAACTCAGTATGGTTTTACTTACAGGACTTACTTTACAAGCATTTGTATAAACTCTGTTTATTCAAAATAAAATAAAAATGTTAGCGTTACTTTAATTTTTCATCATCCTTTTTCCTGTTTTCTTTTCTGTATCCACATAGACATGATTCTGAATCCAAAGTATCCAAAGTAAAGTATTATGCTATTATAGATAATTATTACTGATAAATGAACGCTTAAGGAAGTACTTATAGCTTGGATCAGTTTAGCTAGTTTTATACTGCTTACTAGTAAAATCCTAAAAGAATTCACCATATTTTATAAACTGATCATGTGTTTAATATGTAAATCTGTTATCTGAATTATAAAAACAGATTTCTAATAAATACAATAACAAAAAATGTAATATTTTCCTGTAAAACATGAGAAATATATATATATATATACATACATCAATTACATTACCTATGTATATACACTTGCTAGTTACTTAACACACTTCCTAATTTGATGACAATATATTGTGTTCTAATATTTTGTTATTTATTTATAGCAATGAGAGTAGACTTAAATAATCATAATGATGATAATAATAATACATTTTATTTGTCAAGCACTTTTATAAGTGCTCAAAGACTCTTAACAATGATAAAAAAAAGTCAATAAATCTAAATAGAATCGAGCTCGCTAACATTGGACACAACATTAATCACACATTAAAAGCCAGTCTAAAAAGCTGAGTTTTTGTCTATAAGCACCTCTCTGCCCAGCAACACAATAACAACAACAGGCAACCTTCAGATTCAAAGGAGACCATGAAGTCAAAACAACACTGTAAGAGTCTTAACAAAAATAGACTTAACAAACTGGCAACTTGATGCATATTGTTGCAAAGGAAAGCTCCACCTCGACTACAGTAATGTTAAAACATGTTTACACAATAAATTAATATAAAAATAAGCCAACGAATTTCCCACAAGTCATTTACAGTGATTTTTGTAGTCCTGTATAATTCACTGACATTAAGCTCTTACTTAATGTTAGAATTGTATTTATGGAGTAAAACACGGATTAACGGTGACCTACCTAAAACAGTATGTTTGTGTAATCAGTAATTGAATGACCATATTTGATTGTTTTAGTCTGAGAACCTGAGGTCACAGGCTAAATTGAAGGGACACAGAAAACCCCCCCGAGATTAAACATGATTACACTGATGTGATTTGTCTCATTACAGCGCAAACTTCACCAATGTGTGATTTGCGCAGACGAGCAGAGTAGACAAGTGTTCCATTAAAGCCTTTCTTCGCTCATCAACTGCCTCCCCAAGACCCTTGTATATGTAATCGTGCATGGCCTCTCGTTAAGATCATCAAAACAGAGCGTGGAGAGGCCAGCAAATGTGTGTTAAAAGCACTTAATAGGAAGCCCCGCATTACTGAAAGACTCAGTAATGGCTGTGAATGACTGTGTTTTCCCCCATTAGTCTAATGCACCCGAAATCACTGAAGGTAAAAGTAAAACAACATTTTTAGTTGAAAATACAGGACATTCAACAGAAAAAGCTCTCCATCCGCACAGATTTGTGCCGTTTGCCCAAATTAAATCCTGCCATTATGAATGGTCAACACCGTCTACATCATTAAATGTTACGTGCAAACTTTCCCATCTTTGTAGTTGTAGTCCTACCTCATTGGTAAACCATAACAATGGTTTTGGAAATATAGTGTAGTGCAGGGGTGCCCACACTTTTTCAGCTTGGGAGCTACTTTTAATATAACCAAGTCCACATGATCTACCTACCGCCCCTGCCCAATCTGTGTCGCTCGCAGCGGCAGGTAAACTGGCGCGCTTACACTAATTGCACCGCATTAGTGCATTATAGCTTCAGATGAGGAGGAGGGCCCCCTCATAACTGCATGAACCCGTATGGCACAATACAACTCAGTACATTTTTGGTAATTGTTATACCCTTTCTTTAGTAGAATTGTATAAATTGGAAGGCTAACTAGGTAATCAGCTCGTCGGTGATTTGCAGCCCATGCGTGGTGAACTGCGTGTTAGAAAATATGAGATCTCAGACTGGCTTACCTGTACGTCAATCAAGTGGCAAATGCCATAGTAAGGATGGATGATAGGCTACGTAACTTAACAAACAATTTTTTTTTTAAAAGAATCTTTTTTTAAATGCTATGCGATCTACCCACACTACCTTTGCGATCGACCGGTCGATCGCGATCAACGTATTGGGCACCCCTGGTGTAGTGGCTACACTGAGCTACTAGGAAAAAAAAGAGGCCAACTAAAACACAAACAGCATTTCTAATAGTCTGAGGCCAACCTTTAGTATATTTCTTACAATAATAAATAAACTACAATTTACAATGCTAAGATACACCAACACCTACTGGAGTCTGCTATCACATGTGACCACCCCCTGCTAGAATTGCGAGTATCTGACTACTATTTAGCAATTCAGCACAGATGTAATTAAATTCATTATTCAAATTGCTGGGTTGCGAAGTCGCGTTTTCGGCCCTTATACTGACTAAAAAAGTTAAAGACGCTGAGACCTAAAATTGTTAATTCCAAGGTCACTATTATGACGTGTTGAAATAATATACACCTTTCTACAATTGATAGTGTTACAACAAAATTCACTCCACTCTGTCATGGCCTCTGTGTTATGATAATATCCAAATGTCCAGGGGTGCACATAACTGTTACGCAGATACGCATGCGCGGCAACAATCTGAAATGCATACCGTCACTTGTGTCACAAAGCGCATTTGCGTACCGACGTACTTGTGAAGCTTTTCCAGAAGGCGGTTAGATCACCGGACGACAGAGTCGGTCTCCGTGTGCACAGACAAGGCTGCTGTTAACGTCGGTCTGTACAGCAGCCCTGTGCTAATACAGCTGATCACAACGTTCACACGCTCTGTGGTCACGAAGCTGCTGCTGATTATGTGATGCTGCGTAATAATTCAATATTAACAACAACAATAATAGAAAAACAACACACATATGTTAAAGGTGGGGTAGGTCAATTTGGAGAAACCAGCTCGAGTGCGCTAGAATTTGAAAATACACAACCGGACAAAATCCGCCACTTCCTTACAGAGCCCCTCCTCCAACACACACGAACGTGCACATGACCAATGAGGGCACGAGATAAGTTTGTGCACAGATGGAAAGCTGACAGGCAGGTAGGCCATCCAGTTATTTTAGCCGGGCTGGCTAAAATAATTGGTCGTGCTTTTTACAGTACTACGGCTTCCACAGAGGACATTTTTTTATGGATTTATTGTCAAAGCATTTAATGTATTCATTGCTATCGGGATGTTAAGAGCATTCCATGGAATATAACAAAAAGTGTTTCTGAAATAAATTACATACCCCACCTTTAACATTTGTTTAAAAATCATCCAAAAAAAAACACACTTAAAATATAAAGCATCTCTGAGTTTTGATTTGTGATTTGAATGTACAGTAGACACATTGTTGCAGTAATGGATGTGTTTCGGGAGAGACTAACAGAGGGAGAGGCAGCTAAGGATAAAGTTATGTCCCTCAATGTAGATTGAAAGAATATTGAAAGGTTAATCTTATCTATTTTCGATCATTTCCCAGTCCATAGCTAAAAATGTGACTTAATGTTAATTGACAGGTGGAGCCAAGAGTGTAGGGAGTGCCAGTCTTCAGCAGATTGGGACCAGAAGCAGCCAGAGGAGGACTAACAAGGTCAGGACAGATCAGGAGGTAAAGGTGGTGATTGGGGGTTTGAAGAGCAGACCATCCAGAGCCAAACCCGTCAGAGGGTACCGCTCAAAGAAAGAGAAGGTTAAAGAGAGCGCTTATCAGGATCATTTTTTGCCAGAGGCTCAGGATGATTGCTGCAATTCCGAGTCAGGAAAGTCCTTTCTGGGTGTTAGGGAGAACACAACTCTCAAAAAAGTACCTATTACACCTGGTAGTTCCACATGGACTGAGTTTGACATTGTGACCCCCAAAAAAGAAGACATAAAGATTATAAAAGAAGCGAAAGCAGCTGGATGTAGTGCTACTCGTCCAGCAGAGCAATGCACAGGAAGTGAGCCAACCAAACCAAAAGGTATGGTCCTAATCTCTTTAAATCAAAGGATGTACATTTTGAACAACCTATGCATAAACATGTCAATATTGATCAAGAAGGTTGAACACAGTGTGTTAGGATGCATTATCAAAATTGTTTACAAAAGTGACCAATTTGGGTTTGCAAGGTAGGTCAAATAAAAGCTAAAGAAAGGCAATACATATTGACCCAAAGTATTAGAAAGATTAGTGAAGGTTCAAAGTGCTCCATAGTGATTTTTAACATGAAATCTCCTTCATGAAAACAGGAACATGTACATTTTTTTTAAAAGCTACTACTTTATCCACAAACATCACATGGTGTACCAGATACTTATTTTACCTTAATTTTTTTCAACCAAGCTATAAAAGTACAGAGATCTTGCAAGCAGAAGAGCAGGAGATTTACAAAGACCTTTCCAAAAATACATGTAAGTATGGCTTTTTGTTCAGCATTTCATAGTGAATGGATATACTATTTCCTATCAGTGTACAGTGCTGCTGTACATGTCATGTAGTGTTGGATTCTGTTTATCAATGTGCTGCACTAAGAAGCATTTGTAGATAACACGGACGATGGTAATGTTCCACAACCTCGGTCAACACAGTGTCAGAATTAAACGGTTTACCAGACATACAGATGAAAATGAAAAACAATACAGTATATGAAGTATATTTAGAGGTGTGGACATAATAATTGAAACATTAAAGAAGCCTGATAATACTTTTTTTATTCTACTTTCAGAGAGCCAAAGACCACAAGCCCTGCTCTCTGGGACTCTACTGTTCTATATGTGAGAAGGAACTACTTCCAGTGGCACATGGTAGTTCCTGAGAAAACCCTGTAATGTTTCAATGTGTTTACTACAGCTAAATCAAGTCAAACTATTTCTCCAATGTTATTTGGCATTGATTTAATCTTCACAGTTATGACTTTATTTTTCAGGTGCACTACGACGTGCTGTTTGTGAATCTGAACATTTAGGTTTTCTGAGAAACGACAGATTTAGTTCTGGAAAAACAACCCGTCGCTGCCAGTGTGCAACAAATCAGCAATCACTTTCAGACAACTCACTGCTAGTAGTCCAAAGTGTCACATCATTGAAGGCCCTAAGGACTGCTCTCCAACCCTACTGTGATAACACTTTAACTGGTGGGTTGACATACTGTATGGTGTAATAGACATTATTGAAGAAGTAAATAGGGTTCTACGCAGTATATATCTGAGTATTCATTGCTAAAAGTAAATGATGATTACAAATTATTACACATTATTTTAGCATGGTTTAAAAAGCTTGATGTCCAATTTACTATTTATAGATTATCATATATATTAAGAGGAACTCTTGATGAGTTTGTTAGGGACTGGTCCTCAATAGCATTATACATACAAAATGAATTTTTAAATGTTTTTACTATGGGGGTAACTTTGATAAAATACTCGCATTTGGTAAATGCACAAGGTGGTGACTGCTTTTTTAAAATGTAGGTCTTTGTATTGTATCATCTCATGCTAAATTATGATTATTTAAATGATTAGCAGTAGATTGGGAATTAAACAGAATTTAACATTCATATTATTAACATGTTAACCTTTAACTTTGATCCTTTTATGGCACATTTTCTCTCTCAAGTCAATAAAGTGACATGCTTTCGCCCTGCTTCTCATTCCTGCAGCGTATAATGCCATCTGGAATACTGAGAAGGGCTCTGTAACCAGATTTCTTCAGTGCAAAGGCTGTTTGTCCCAAAGCCTAGTGCTGTCAGGAGCTTTAATCGCAGCAGATATCCACTGCCCTCGTGACATGGCTCAAGATCAGGTACATTGAATGAATGTGAATAAATGTTAAAATGCCCAATGTGCACATAAAAACACCAGAAAAACTATTATATGTATGCCCAGGAGGATTAATCCTAGCTATGTGTGTTTGCGGACAATTTATTCTGGCAAACAGCCACTAGGCGACAATTAGGTTTACCCTGTGTGAGTGAGTTGTGAATGAAACATTTTAAGAATTACTGAGTATATCAGTAAATACTGCCTGGGATTATTATAATCCCAATTGTGCTTAATCTCTAAACAATAATTTTGTAATGATTGTAACTACATATTTTATTCAGCCATATCTTTTTGCATTTTAATTCAAACTTGGGAGTGGATTTAAGGAAGCAACATTAAGACATTGCTCAACACAAAATGTTCAAACAATCACTATTGGGTTTTTTATGTCCGGACGGGTGTGTTTGAGTGTGAAACATTATCTTTTTTACTTTTTTGGGCCTTTATCGGAAAGGCTATACTGCGGCCCGCATGTGAATTATTTGACGTATTCATGGAAGACTGAGGTGGATATTTGGTCAGACTGTTACAGAGACTTGAGTCTGTATCTGACGTTAATTAGAAATCAACAAACCACATAATTAAATCAGATTATTTTTAAATATTATTTATTTTTTATTTTTTACTCACTTCTGTGTGATTGCTGACCTTGTTTGTCTGGCTTTCTGGAACTCCTAAATCTTAGCTAGTTGGCTAAAATAAATGTTAATCGAGTAAAAGAAAATTCCCACAACCTCCTGGAAACATTTGTTCATTGTTAAACCTTTCACCGTGGCCTGGCTTACATTCATTGACGGTTTGGGGATTTTCAGGACTGTAAGAAAAATATAAAGTATCACCAGCTTTGTTCTTTAAAATGAAAAGTCTTACAGTGAGGTTCGATAGTTCAACTTTTCCCAGTTGTAGTTTGCGTAGATTTCTGAAAAGGATTTTAAAATGTCTAAAACGAGGCCCTACTAAGTACACAAGGTTTTTTCCAAATAAATGACAGTTGATACTAAGCAAGTAGTCACAGCAAGACTCACATTTGAATGTGTTGCTAACATGACAGATGATGATTGCTAAGAAATTGCAAAAGCCCAGCCTTGTACAGTATTTTACTGTAACAATATCCTGCAGCAACTTTTATCATGGCAGAATTAGCGCCTGATTTGTTGTTTGTCACTTGTACCTAGAACATGCTGTGCCAGGAGGCATATTTCAATCAATAACCACTCCCACCCCTCCATAATCCGACTTAGTATCAAACAAAGGCAGAGTACAAAATGTCACAGCTTCTTTAATTGCCTCTGCAAAGTGTTATAGCTCCATTGATTTGTAGATCTTTAAGCTGCATTTTTTTTTAAAAATGTGTTTTACAGACAGGAGAGGATTCTTTGCTAGTGTATTCATAAAGGCACGTGGCAATCGTTAGTCAGTTTTATGAACGTTTTTGATTTAATCAATATGATTGAGCATTGGATTATTTTCTCATTAAATGTTCAAAAACATCAATTGAAGTTTGTGTCTGCTTATAAATAAACAGGAGGGATTATGTTCACACTATCAGAGTTCATTTAATAAGATGGTAGTATAGTAGAGGTGCAGTCTGTTATTGATGCTTTTTCACAAAGATTTATATATAATGAAAATCTTTCTATTTCATTTTGACATGCTGCTATATATTTTGTATATATAATTGTTGTTTTTAAATTGAGTTTACTTGTTTAATAATTGATTTGCTATTGAATACCTTATCATTGAGGTTGTTGGTTAATTTATTTTCTCTATGACTGTTTAACTGTTACTAATGTCTGCACAAAAGGCAACTGTTACAGTTGCCAGGACTATCCAGTAGTAACTATATTGTCATTTTGCTCCAGCAGATGTTTAAATGTCAAAGACTGTTGAGCTTATCACTGTTAACTGTCGGATTAAAAAGATTAACCTCGTTTGACTGATAAAACTGTAACTTTCCAAACTTTATGTACTTTCAAATCTGAGTTCATCTTGGTCTAATCTTTTTGCTTTTGGATGAAAGAAATAAAACATTTCCTGGTCGATTTTATGAACCAGATTACCACAAATGCAGTTTGTTGTTATCCATTTGACTAAATGAAGATAGATATACTAAGTGGCTAACTTAAGAACATCCAGAATTGTAGTTATTTTTTATTGTATTTTTCCTCAAATAAACAAATACAAATAAATCCATATTTTTTTACAAAATGATTATAGAACTAATCTTTAAACCAAGATTAGCTTTTTTGTTGATTAGTGGGATTTGCTGTAAAATACATACAAAGAAAACATTTAAAATAATGCAAGTCATTTGTTTTATATAGTTTCAATGTCATTCATTTCCATCCATTTAATTTACAGTAATCTGCAGTGATTGACAGGTACGTGAATTGTTGACAGATTATAGCGTATATACTGTCATATGTCACACTTTGACAATTATTCAAATGATGTACCCAGCAACTGTGACAAGCATCTGTTACAAATACAAAGCAAAATATTGCCAATTAAAACTTAAATTAAGGATTGAAGACCATTGATTTAAAATAAGCAAAATCACTTGAAGACTAGGATAGTGCTCAGATTTAGTGACATGAGTCACAAGAAACATTGAAAAATTAGAGCTACAGAGGTTACAGTCCCAGTATAATTCATCATTAGGCACTTTAGTCAGATGAAGCATCTTACTTAAACATTGCCCAAGGCCAGATTTTCTGCATTTTGTTGTGTTGCAATTTAAAATGTCAGTAAATCATAATCTGCATAATGTAATTTTCACAGGGGAATAGGTTTTTTTTTGTAATAAAATAGAGGATAAATAAAAAAATATTAAATACAATTCAATAAATATATCTATGTAACATAAGAAGTCAAAGTAAAATGTCCAATAAAATTGAATAAAAAATGTTGAAAAAAATGTATACAAACATAAGAAGTTAAAGTAAAGATGTGCACATCGTTCTACAAAATATAACTTGTATACTACAATATATACAGTGGGGTATTAGTGTTAATACCATATTAATGCTGAATTGCCCACTTTAAAAGGGTTTGGCTTCTGATGGTGAAATGTCCAGTACATGTCTATTGACTCAGACTGCCTGGCAGGAGTTTGTTGGCCACAGGCAGGAATGACTTACTATTAAGTACTCCCATCTGACATTAAGTTTAGATGATAGACTTGTTTTTGAAATAGCCCCAACATTTTGGCCATCTGGATCACAGTTTGAATCTGACTAAGCCCACCCTCTCTGCCCCCCCTATGCCGAAAGGGCTTTAGGACTCACTTTGGTCCACCCTTCACAGTTCTTCGGACACTCGCATGATGCATTTTGAGTTCCTGCTGTTCAACCAAAAAATATGACAGACACCATATTGCATGTAAAGCTTTGGAGTCTGTCTGGGTGCAATCACCAGACACCCAAACTCCAGTCTGCAACACTCCAACACTCTTGCCCTGGGGCATGAAACAACTTAACTGTCGACCACTGTCTTTTTGACCTGTTAATCTCAATTTGTCATTGTTGTAACAACAATGACAAACCAGCGCCCACAACCACTTATTACTTTTGTCATCTGTGCCAAAACATATCACTTCTCATCCTCCTACCACCTGCTTTCAAATTTAAATTACTTTATTGCATATCTATATGCAGTTACTGCTTTAAGACCTAACATGTATGAACTGTTCAGATGAGGATGACACACAGTCACCTTATGTTTTAAAATGCTTTGTTGCAGCACATGTTTGAGGCTTGCACGCTCTGATATAGTGACCTTTAATAAAAGGCAATCTTCATGCCACAGTGGCCATTAAAGGTAATTATTTTCATCTGAGTGATTTATTTGTAGCACAAATTGAATACTATTCAGTAGTTACATTTGAACAGAAACATGTTTATCTTATCCTCTGATGTGAAATTATATTTATATGAATATGCCAGTTTTGTATCAGATAACTAACTAACAAATGTATACAGTAAAATAAAACAAATGCATATTAAATATACACTATATATACACGTACACATTTTATCTAATTTACTATCCTTTACTTTCCACATTCTAGCGTTTCTCTCCTTGCCCACGGTGCTAGTTAACATATTCATGTTTGTTTGTTTTCTTTAGCCTCTTGTAGTTTGTAGATATCATATTTAACATGGATCTTTAGTTTGACTGCTAAGTATCAATGATGAAAAACCATTAGGTGTAAAATGAAGGTAAAAGACTTTAGGCATTGTTTAAAAGAAAAAAAGCATGTCTGCTGTATATGTAATTACATATGAGACAAGCAAGTGGATGTTGTGTGGAGATGTGTAATTAGATTAGAATTTAAAATGTTCAATTCAACTTTTTGTTAAATGAACCATACACTTTTTGTCTTACATTAGAATGTTCTTTAATGGCAAATCACTATACTGTAAGTGGAAATAAACAGATTTGGCCAATGTAGTGCATTTGGTGAATAGCTAATGAAATAGATTTCTTTAAGCGTCTGTAGCCTGATAAGGATTGCTTGACCGGATCATCTGGTGGTTGAGGGTCTTTAGCAATCTGTCTGATTGAGCAGCTGTTAAAACTTGGCTTGAGTCATAGGTTTGGAGGCTCTTTGGGTAATAAACCCAGATTTATTTCAGAGGGTCAGTGGAATTAGACACCTAATCTGCCTATGTGGTTTTATAAGTTGATTTATCTTGGTATAGACATCCGTTGTTTGGGCTCATCTTAGTGTGCTTACACCATAAGCTGGTTAATGCTATAAGTGTGATTGTGGCAACCATTTGTCAGCCTTTTTAGTTGTGCATGTAGTAGTAAGATCTCAGCAGGAGATCATTAAGTACTGGCAGTCAGCCATGTATTCAGCCTCACCCTGTGTGTGGTCGAACATTGACAGAGATAAGAAACTTTGATCCATTAAACTACTAACTTCTTTGTGTAGTATTATTTTAAAGTTTTGCAGTAGCTTTTGTCTAGTTGTAC